CTGATATCAAGGCTATACACTCTGGTGTGACAGTCACTTTAGCACAGGAATGCCCACATGGGGAGGGAGGGAGGGAGGTGCAGCTATGGTCAGCAAGGCTACTGAGGCAGGAAACCTACAGGTTAAATAAGGAGCCTTAACTTTTGGTCTGCACCCAGAGCCAGTGAAGACCAAAGTCACTCCAAGGCTTTGACCTGTCTCCTCCAGCTCCATGAGTACCTGCTGTGAACAGTGGAGCACATGCAGACAAGCACATAGGAAGTAAGGGGGCTCTATGCAGAGAAGGAAACAGGACTTTCTAGAGGAATAATTATCTCTAGGGGAAAAAATAGTACTTGTATTTTAATTCTCATAATTGCTTTTTATTATTTTTTAAAACTAAAACACAATAAAAACACCACTAACCGCTCTATTTTGAAAACCACCTGTACTCCAAAATGAGCAGAAGCCTCTCCCTGAGCAAGAGCACTTTCCCTGATTAGCCTATGATAGAGATAATTACATCTGACTTGTTGAGTCAGATCTTTGAGGTGTAAGAGTGAAGTTAACTGAGGAAATAACCCCAGGCACACAAATTAGCTGTGCTATAACCCCCAAATCAACTAAGGAAATATGCAGACCCTGATTTTATTTACTTACAGTTGTTGCCACCAAATCCATAATTTCATGRATGGCCAAGTCACTTTGAATAACACACACAAAAACCACCCACAACCCCAAGAAGGTTAAAAGCAAGAAATCCAGATCAAACAGACAGTCTGTRGTAATTAGAGGACATGGTCAAAGTGAGAAACTTCACCTGGTCCAAGCTTCTGTGGACACCCACAACTTTATTTTATGTTAAGAGGCAGAAAAGCCCTTTTAGTTGCATGATTAGTGGTTATACATTCCACAGAAATGTGACGATCTACTCATCTTTTAGAACATTTYCAAGAGAGATAAGTTAATGGAGGGGGAAGAGACTGACTCCTCGATAGYGAGTTCTCTAGATGACTGGAAATCCTTGCAGCCCTCAATACCAGATTAAACGGGATACAGGGCAATTTAAAAGGGTAAAGATTCATTTAGCTTTTCAAGTCTTTCAATCAGAACATCCATTAGAATCTCCATTCAGTCTTTCAAGAAGAATCTCCAGGTCTGAGGAGGATTTGATCAGAGTCACAGCAACAAGAAAAGCGAGTTTATCCTTACCAAAAATACACACACATGTATATACACACACACAGATAAGGGACATACCCCTTTAGTGTAAGGTCCTGACCAAGTTGCATTAAAAACGGTGACATTCCTCCCAGCAATTTGTTGCTTTTATAGTAAACTGAATTCTAGGAGTCCTTAAAGAAGGATTTGAAAGTTATCCAAGAATCCTCTTGTTCCACAAAAGGCTGCCTTAATCCTGTCCCTCCTCTCAGCATCCTCTATGTCACATACTGCAGTGGAGAGCAGCTTTACCTAGACTGAAAATCATGGCAACAAATCATCTCCCGTCAGCTTCATAAAGCTATCAGGACATTACATACAAGTCTCTGTAAGAATCAATACGGTCAGCTCCTGAAGGCACAAATAGCACTTCATTGCTCTGAAGCCAGATTATAACACATTTGTACTTTAAGAAGTTTGAATTTAAGAAGATTTAAAACATTATAAAAAGAAATCATGAGTACATGATTAAAAAAAGAATCGGAACCGCTGGGTTTTTATAAASCAGAAACTGGCTGAAAGAATCTGATACACTAAGAGGGTAAACTGTAAGGACACTGTTTAAGAGCTTATTAATTAGAGAGGAAAACAGTGAGACAGATTCTAATATTTAATGGGAAAGAAACCAACTACTTTAACCAACATAGCTAAAACTGGAGAAGGCTGGAGAGCTTCAATAGGAAATAAATGAAGTCAGAGAGGAAGCAGAAGCTAGCACATCCATGTGGCTACTTTCAGGAAAACTGAGGTTCAGCAAAAAGCAGTTTAATATGTTTGCTAAGACAARGCACGTAGAAGCAGATAATCAGTAATAAAACTCTGCTGAATTATCTAATGTTTTACCCAGGAGAAGTGGAAAGCTCACTCTGTATAGAATTCAAGCCAGCAGCACTGGGGTTTTTCTGGTTTGACTTTAGATTTTTGGAAGGAGGACAGTGTTTTAAACAGGTTTCCCTTCCACCCCTTGTGCTGCTGCTTCTACCTCACAAAAAAAAAAAAAAAAACCCACACCCTGACAATTCAGACCCCTAAGCAAGGGCACAATTTGAGGGGCATGTAAGGGGACATTCAGCAGCCCCTACTGGTATCACAGCTGGTCCCATCAGYGCAGCACCCAGTCTAACACAGGGGACTCATTCCTTCCTTCCAAGCCACAGCAGCAAGGGCAAGCTGACTGCTTGCCTTTCAGCACAAGTGCTGTTTTCCCTTTCTCTTCTCAGAGCTTTGCGTTAAGTTTATTCCAGAAGATACATTCTCATTGACTTTAACTCCCACTGCCTATTATTTTTGGCAGTTCATCTCAGCTAAAAATTTAATCCACAACTAAAAAGTTATCATGCAACCTACAGGTTACTCTACACCCATTTTTGTCATTCTTCCAGTCCTCCATTTCTTCTGCCTCATCCTACCCCTAAGGAAAGATGCAAGAGGGAGAAGAAAAAAAGCAAGAAAACTGGAATCAAGCCAATTAAAAGAAACTGAAAACTGACTGTGTGTTTTACAGAATACATAAATCATCTGCAGAACCTACTTGCAGAACTGAGATACRGAAGAATAGCAGAAGAGCACTGATTGCTGAAGCTCTGACTACAGTTGAGTGTAAGCTATGCCAAGCTCTGCTTTCAAGACCTCTGTGTTTTAAACAATATGCCCACACATGAAAACTTCATAGAAGTGAGAAATAATAGGTAGGGTTTTAAAAATAGTCCTTGAAGTGATCAAAAATATATTTACTTGGAATCACTATCAGACAAAGTCTGAAAGATTGTTAGTTGGCACTATTTTATATTTTATTAATAATAAACTTCCTTTACGATCTCAGAGCTTTTAACAGCTTTGGACAGATACCATAGCTAAAACTGAGTATACCTCTGGTTTGATCTCTTCTTCAAGATGCTGCTTGGATAAATTTCTGTAATTCCTTAGCATAATTAACAACTGAAGGCCTTGGGGTCTAAAACTGATCAAACATTAACTCAATTATTACTAAATTGCACACACACTATTTTTAAAAGAAAACTCCACAGGATACATTCAAATTCTGCATAARGCAAACATTTATTTCTGTTACTGCACACATCATGCAATAGGCACTTGCTATGCTTGCTCTGTGGCACTTCCAACAGTACAAAAGGGACTGTCTAACCCAACAAATTGGAAGTAGGAAAGAGCAGCAAAGAGAGTCACAAACTTGACGTCTGTGCAGCTTCGACCAACGCAGGCCCCTCCACTCCTGCTCCAGACTCTGCTGCTCTTTTTCACACCGCTGCAGCTAAGTGCTCGCTAGCAGGCAGTGCCACCGTCACAGGCAGATTGGCAGAGGCGGTGCTGAGAACACACCATCCCCGCTGCCGGCAAGACCATCCACACTTGAAGATTTTAGTTAAGACTAGATCCGACCTGGTGCTGTAGGCCTGTTTCATGAGACTCATACCAGGAAGGACACAAGCAGAGCTCCCAGGTTCGACAGCACCCAAGGCTGCCCCACAAAACAGGGGGGGCGCTGAACTCGGAGCCAAGGACGGAAGCGCAGCAGCACCCCGAGGCACTTGCGGCTCGAATGCGAGCTGCTCAGCCCAGCTCTCTGCCCGCAGGGCTGTCCCTACTGCGCCACAGCAACACCAGCCCGGTGCTCTGAGCTCCTCCTGCTGCCTCCCCTCCCAGCCGCTGCTCTGCCAGGGGCCGCGGGAGCTGCCGCACTCGGGGCCAGCCCCGGCACAGCTTCGGGCCCTGTGCCAGGCTGCGAGGCACCCACTGCCTCCAGGCCGGGGGGCCGAGACCGCAGGGAGGAGCGGCTCGGGCCCTGGCAGAGCTGCTCTGCCCAGGCCAGGGCTCCAARGATACATTCTGGCCTCGTTTTCAGCCAGAATGAGCACACAGGAAAAACTAATACTGCCTGGCCTTACACTACAAGGGAGAAAGGTCCCTAGGCTCTCCCAAGAGCTCAGCTGGGGAATTGTGCCTTCAATCACTAGAATACAAGACCCATGTGAGTTAGTATTTCCCTCTTGCATCTCAAATTTGACAGCTGAAATTTAAGAAATTTGAAGGGGGCACATATCCTACAGTGCTTTAGAAACAAGCATGTCCAAAGAATCTGGTTCCAGCTATGCCACAARCCTACCTTCAATTTAGCCCTATTTGGAAGTTATTTGACAAATCAGCTACCAATCCACATAAAACTGATATAAACAAATATTTCAAAAATACATTTCAAATACTTATGCCATATGCAGCAACTGAACCGTTTTGCCCCAAACTTGCACTACATTGTAGGCTATCTACTGACAGTTTGYGTGTGAACCAACTTTAGTTTAGCAAAGAGGTTTTTAAATCTTTTTAGCATTTATATTAATAAATAATTCTTATTAAAAAAGCTATGATTTGAATAATCTCTCAATTGATTTGTTTAAAAACCAGCTAAAGAGATCTTCCCTCCATTATATGCCACTACAGCATCATTTYTCACCTGTCCTCAAACCTGCTGAAGTAGCTGGCAGTACTCAGTTYGGTAGCTTCCCAGATATCCCTATCCAATAAACTGTAGAATAAACTTGCTTGCTGACACCCAGGCCAGGGAGAGGACCACRACAATCTAGTGTAGGGAAAGTAACTAGAGAGGCCTTTCCTGCCTCTCCAGCTACCATCATTTACCACTCCGTTTTGTGCCGAACTGTGGTCACACAATAAAAATAGCCGTAGGGATTCTAGCTTCTATTTTTTTTTGAATATAAACTATTAAGTACACAACAATGCAATTTTAGTTCTCAAATGATATGATTAACACAAAAAATGCTTACTTGCTTCTTCCTTAATAAACTGCAAATCTTCTTCTGGATACGAGGCTGACGGCTGCAACGCTGAGCAGTCTTCCGAGTTCTCCTCGTTATTAGGTGGTATATTATAAATAAATCTCTTTGTCGTTTGGTTTTTCCTTCTTGCTTTTCCGGGTTCTTGAACCGACTGTCCCTGCGAGCCCATGTCATTCCACACAAAAACTTTTCCCTCACCTTGGGACTCATTTTCAGCCATTTCAGGTGAGCTATCCTGGACCCAACTGCAGTCATTCATTTGGTAGTTTTCCATTTGGCCCTCCTCCACAGAGTAACCATCGTTTTCAGTCTGTACGCTGCTTGCCAAATTGGTAAGGTTTCGTGTTGCCCAGAAGCTGGCAACTTTCTGATCCCGGGGAGACATGCCATCCCTGCTAACAGATCTTCTGTTATAATCCACTACAACAGCCTCCGGAGCTTCCGATTTTATACTTATGTTTAAGGCATCTTTAATGAAGTTGCGGCAGGACTGGACTACCTCGGTCATCTGAAGGTAGCTGGCCACTGACATCACCTCAATGGCATTTTGGCTCGTAAGCACGAGGTTACCAGAGTATAAGAAGTCCAAGATGACAGAAAAGCCTTGAACAGCAGCAACGTCTAAGTAGGTAACAGTGGTTTGGTTACGGCTTTCTTTGTTTGTAAAGCAATACAGAGTCTTAAAGAAGCGGCTGCCTGCAACCAGGATGTTCTTGTGAGCTCTGAAGACCCTCCCACTCACCACAATATTGACATCACAGAGAATGCCCTTCTTCCTCTGCTCGTTCAGCTCCTGCAGCAGCTGATAGCAGTACGAGTTCTCATTTGGCCGGTTGTTATAATCACAGTATCCTTCATTATTCAGTTCTGACGGTAATTCTGACTCCTGCAGTTAGGAAAAAACAAAACAAAACACATAATTAGCTCTTCATTTCTCCAATAATTTCAGTAGTATTTGAAAATCAACTTAAGAACACGTTATACAAACTAATTTCTTCTCCTATACTCTTAAARGCAGCCTGGAATATGTACTTGGAGAAAGTATTTTTGAAAACTGAGAACTGATATCTCATCTCCAACACCCAAGTTTGGAACAGAAACAAAACCATCAGGATTCCTGTAAGGACAAAGGAAGTGATGCTTGGGCCAAAAAAAGGATTTTTAGCTCAGTGTGAAGTATGTATTTCTGTTAACCCATATACACTAAGAGATTCAGCAGTCTCTCTTCTATTAGCTGATASCCATTCTCTGTCCTTCCACAGAAATCTCAACGTAAACAGAACTTTGACAACTGATTCAACATTTTCTCATACCAAGATGAATGTGGAAAAAACTATCTTCCAATTTCTTTSTACCTGCAAATCATATCTGATAACTTTATATGTTCTAAAGAAAACAAAGCAACGAGAGTGACAGGCACATTTTTATACAGCTTTAGAAGTTAAATATTTAAGTTTATTTTCTGTTTATGTTGGGCACGGCATTAAATATCAGCATCAGAAGATAAGTAGAGTACTGAAAGCAGTAGTGTCAAGCAGCAAAACACAGAAATTAAGTTTCAGTTGCATTTTTTACATCAGGACTATCCTGAACCAAACAAACCTCAGTGAAACTTCACAGCAGCAGCTTTAAATGACACATCCTTTCTATATAGGCAATAAGTACTTCTACAGTCTTCTCAAAGAAGAATCTCAAAGTTGTCTTGTAAACTTTACTAACAAAGAATAATACGGGGCAATCCAAAACAAGACAACAAATTGTTATCAGACTGAATTATATTGTTATTAAACTAACAAGTTGTAATTAAAGATAAGGTCTGACAGTAGGATACTGTTAAGTAAAATAGACCTGAGGAAGCTATTACAGGTTAGATGTATGTAGATTAAYCCTACCACAAGCCCACAATCTACCCTGGGGCTAAAATACACCCTGCAGAAAAGCACTATTCCAGGAACAAAAGGAGATGGCTATGGTAGAAACCAATTATACAAAATGGTCATTTTCCACCAAGAAGGAATGAGTGCACTAAATCACTATTAACCTTAAGTAATAATCCCAATGCAGATCATTGGGATGACAACCTCAGTTGTAACTACATCTTCTAAAATGRGGTTTTACATCTTTAAACAGTAACTAATGCCCAAATTAACTCAAAGAAAAAGTACCATACTAACTTCCCCTGCAGAGAAATTTCAGTTTGATGTCACATTCAAGTTGCTTCTGAACCCTTACCCTTCTCAGAAAAGRATTTTCTCTAAACACACCCACTTCCAACACTGCTCCCTGTTCATGCACAAACAAGCACCAATCTCTACACATCCCTGCCTTATTTCTGTGCGCTCTCCAACACATCCAAGCACTCTCAGCTGAGAGCTCTGAAACAGGAGCTGTTTCAGACAACCCCATTTATAACAAAACAAGCAAACAAAAACACACCACACACTGGTATTCTGTAAGTTCTTACAAGACTTCAGACCTTGACCAACTTCTGTCACTCCAGCAACAGTTTCAAAACATTGATTACTGMCACTAGATCAGATTAAAACAAATTCTGAACCCTGAAGTGTTGTCACTATGTCACTAGTCAACCAACAAAGTTAATCATCAATAACTTAAATAAGAAATGTTAGATTAGTTACTACATGTGATAGAAGCTGTATTATCTGAGAATATATTTTAAAATATATTCTATATAAACTGCAATAGTTTTTTCTCTGTAGGGATGCCCGATTGCACCAGGATGGCAATACAGTAAACTGAGGATTCTTATGTATCCAATTAAATTGGAGGAGAGGAAAGTAAGACTTAAAATATGCCTTCTCCTAAAGGAAACTACAAATAAGAGTAAATATAATTTGCAGTCACGTGCTACAAACAAAGACAAACCGAGCATGCATTCAGTATGAGAAGTGGAGAAGGCAGAGTGAAAATAAGGAGTAGCAAGCAACAAACATCAAAATCCTTTGGTGATGGGAGAAAGACCATGAGTGTTAGAGACACTGCACTGGTTCAAGCCAAGCATTAAGCTGCACGCAGCACCTAACTGCTGCCTGCTGGGACCAGCTCTCCGTAGCTCTGCACCTCACACAAAGGAGCCCCCATGTCTGAACAGTTGGCCCAAAGCCTACCCAAACCCACTGMCGAGCAGAATTAATATTTACAACAAAATAAATAGAACAAAAATAGGAAACTCCTTGGAGAGTTTTTAAATCCCTCATGGCYGTACAGAAAAGGGGCAACATAACACACTAGGAAGTGAAGGTCAGAAACCATTTACAGAAAACCCAGGAAAGTATTTTCAAGCTTGTATTACTCATGTCATGCTCATGGCAATCACCAGAAGAGCACTGCTTTTCTGATAAGAATTAGAAGAATGTCAAAGAAGATCTGCTTAGATTTTTTGCTATTGTATTTTAAGAACACAGGCAAGATATCCCCCGGCATAAGTTATTTCAATATCAAACAAGCTGTCCTTTAAGGAAAACAAACAAACAAAAACCTCTTGGGGGGCGGGGGGGAACRGGAGAATCATATAAAAAGAGACTCTTCCAGTCTTGGTTAGATGTCGTGCTATATGTTTATAGAACAAGTTTGTAGTTGAGATTTGAAAGTGATCTACAAAACGTGGACTGCTTTAGGGGAAACAAATATTGTGTGTATTTTCAATTAACGAGACTCATCTGAACATACATCAAGGTAAATGACTATTTAATGTGTATAATTCGCCAACTAAACATGCCTAAAATACCAACAGTAGACTATACAGAAGATATAGATAATCTAGAAGAGCTCCTGGAAAGCTGCTTTTCCTTCCCTCCTGTGTCACAGGATACTATGTCTCCTCAAAACAGGAATATCACCAAAAAAAAAAAAAAGATCCAAGAGTAGATTCCATTCTAAACTCAGATATATTGAAAATACACATATTATCACACATTTATCACACATTTCTAATCTCTTTACTGTTACTATACTTTTTAACATGCCTTATAAGATACATGTACACACATCACCCAGAATTCAGCAAATATAAAACTGGTTCTCCAACTGAATGTTCAATATCCAGTGAAGTGTTTCTACATCTTATGAAAATATTACATAGATCACAGCAAACAACAGTTCTTGCTTGGAAAGTCTGACTTCCTCTTCATTTTCCCCCTGTTAAGGGTAATTGAAGAAGTTAACTTARAAAATTGTATCACAATTTCTATGTGTGAAGCACAACTCCTATTCATCACTGCTCACACAAAGCAAACAATAACCATTCACATGGAAAAAATAATATCACATCAAAGGCCTTCCTCCTTTTGGAGAGCTGCTGCTTTAAGCCAACATGCCTGTTGGCTGGAGAAAGCTTTTCTGGCTGTATTTCCAAAACTCAGCTTCAAACTATGTTCACAGAGAGCATGTTTTAAGAAGCATCTTTAAGGGGAGAAAGCCCCAGCAACCAATACATCTGAATCTCATCGATCTAACTTCATCACAGAACTAAAAATCTCTTGCAGTGACTTCCTAGCAAGTCATTTTGGTGTGTAAGGTTTTTTTTCTCCTTCTCTCTCAAAGGAATGGACTTTTACATTAACACAGAAGACAGTTTCACGACAAAGTATCTTCCCTGATACTTTGATATAACAGAAGAAGATTTTAGAAACTAAGATGGAAAGAAATGATTCAAGGTTTGTGCCTCAGAAAGGAGCACCAACCGACAGGTCTGTACCTTTGAATTACAGCAACTGCAGTCACTTGCAATGTGTTTTGGCATCTCAAGTATATCCCACAATTAAATTGTAATCATCATTCATATCTTCATGAGTATAGTATCCAACAGATTTACACAGATTTCCACACCTCCAGTTTCCTTTCCACACTTGAACACTGGCACCGTGCCATATGTTTATTAGCAACTGCTAAACRTGTCCTGCAGTTGAAGCCTCTCAAGACAGGAATACACCCATGTTATCCCTAAGACAAAGGCTGAAAGGTCTCCCCTTAAGTTTAATTGAAACTAAAAGCTCTGACACCTCATTATGCATGTTGAAAACAGGCTGCAAACCACCTCTTTTGTTCCAAGTATCTGGTTTGATGACATTAATAATTGTTATTCTTTCCATTTTTACACATACTTTCATATTTTTAACGCATCCATTTCCACTTATCTGTACACTTAATCTAATATTAAGACAATAGCCGTTCATTTATTTATTTTTAATCTGCTATATAGCATGTGCAACCCAAAACTGCACTGCAAAGTAAAATACCAAAATGTAACAGCACAGCAACACAGACAGTACTGTTTTCTACTTGAAACCATCCTCTCTCTAATGCACCTTTACAGAAGCCTGCTTTGTTCAAGCCTTATCATTGATATAGTACAAAAGAGCCACTGATATTGTTTATTGTTTAATTCAATTACTTAAAGCTTAGGAAAAAATATTTGTGGACTCTATCAGTGGTATAAGAATTCTGGTGCGTATTTATAAACTTTTCCATAACAAAGGTCTGATCTTCAAGTACTAACAATTCCTTTAAAATCTTTCAGGCTGCTGTGACACACAAGCCGAAATACCCCATCTATCTAATAATCTTATGATAGGAAAGAGAAGCAGTTTTAGCTGCAAACAATCATTCGGAATATGTTGATTTTTGCAGGGGTTCACAGGAATGAGACAAACCTTCAACTGCGCCATGAAGTAGCATAGCAGTATCTGGTGACACTGAGACTAAACAGTGACAGGACATACCTTTACATGGTAACTATTCACAGCTCAAAGCTATAAACTAAACAAGAAGATTGTTTAATGTTATAGCAGTATATTTCCCAAATGGGAACCCCCCCCCCCCCCCAAAAAAAAAAAAAAGAGATAAAAGAAATTAAAAATAAGAGTTTCAAAATAGAAGCTGAAGTCACTTTAAGACAAGCCTGGCCAGAATGCTCGGTGTGAATAGCCAACCTCAGATTGCAGGAAATTGATAAAGTGACCTACTGCCACAAAATGTCTGAAACAATAGCTGCCTCCGAGCTCCACTCCTCGCACACACTGGCTAAAAAGGTATCATTGTTCCTCTTAAAGACAAACACCTTAACTCCTAAGTCTGAAATACTGTTTGGGAGAACTCMGACTGCACCACGGCTGCCTTTCCGTGCAAACCTCCATGGATTTCATATAAAACTTGTATTCCTCTCTGCCGCTGGCTGTGAGAAAAACTTGCACTCGCTCGACATTTTATCGGTCACCCTGACGTGCTGCCCAGTTAGAACAGCAGCTCTTGTCCAAGGTACCCTCAGCTCCTGGAAGCGCTACTAGGGATAAGCTCAAATTAAGCCCCGCACTCCGGCTCTGACACCCAGCGCATCCGAATAACAGGGAGCTGCTCTCAGCAAAACGCTGACGGAAGCAGCGCAGCAGACCCATGGGGAGGGCTAACTGCAGCCAACAGCGCGGGTTCGACCCAGTAAACTCATCTGAAGCTCTTCAGCTGCTGCCTGCTGGCAAGTTAGGTCCAACTTGCCACTCGGAGCTTAACTTTCACAGCGCAGGCATCTTCAGGAAGGCAGGCTATGGAAGCACTGGTGACTCAACCAGAAAAAGTTAAATCTTAAGTATTAAGAGATTTCTGTGCGCATATGGCCTAGAGATAGCCCTGCCTCGTAAGAGGGGCAGGGAAGGCAGGGCAGCTCCGGGGCTCTGGCGCAGCGGAGCTGACACGCTGCCTTTCAGGAAACCGCATGTTTATCTCCAACACACACCACACGACTCGGGAGCTTTCGCGAAGTCACRGACTCCAAAGCAGTGTATCCAGGARCGGAAAAAAATAGTAATAATAATAAATGAATAAAGGGAACGCAAGGGCATGGGGCGGCGGGCGCGGGGGCAGCCCCGCGGGCCGGGGCGGCAGCAGCGGCGCTGCCCGCGGCCCTACCTGCTCGGCGCTCACGGGCTCGTTGAGGCGGTGCTCGGCGGAGAGGTGGTGCCGCAGCAGCAGGGCGCGCTTGTAGTTGCGGGTGCCCTTGCAGAGCTCGTCGTGGCCCGCGGGGGCGGCCGCCGGCTCGGCGGGGGCGGCGTTGGCGGCGCCGCACCAGGCGCACGACATGAGGCCGCTCTCCTGGCAGTAGCGCAGCCACGGGAACTCCTTGAGCCAGGCGCCCTGGAAGGCGACGTGCAGCTTCTGCAGCAGCGACTTGGGCCTGGCGAGCGGGAAGTGCTTCACGCTCTCGCCCTCGCCCGCGCCCACGCTGCTGCCCTCCGCCTCGTCGCCCGCGTCGCCGCCCGAGCGCCGGCTGCTGCTGCAGCTGCCGCCCTCGGCGCCGCTGCCCTCGCCCAGGCTGCCGCCCTCGCCGTCCTCCTCGTCGTCGCTGCTGTCGCTCAGCGAGCCGCCGTCCTGCTCCTTGCCCTCCAGCAGCGCCTCGGGCTCCAGGCCCTCGGCGCCCTCCAGCTCCATCTCGTCCTCGGCGCCGCGCCCGTTGAGCGGCTTGCGCGGCCAGGCGGGCGCCTCGCAGCCGCCGCCGCCGGCCGGGAGCSCCGCGCCGCCGCGGAACGCCAGCGTGCGGCGGTTCCTCTCGGCGAACATGGGCCCGCTGGCGGGCGGCGGCGACGCGGCGTCCCGCGGCAGCAGCAGCTCCTTCTCCTCGGCCGCCTCCAGCTCCTCGGCCTCGAGCCCCTCCAGCTCCGCTTCCTCGTCCGCGCCGCGCCCGTTCAGCTGCTCCGCGTCCGGCCGCTCCCAGGCCTCGCCCGCGGCGCCCGCGGGGCCGCCCGCCTGCGCCGCCGCCGCCGCCGCCGCCGTGACGAGGCCGCCGCCGCGGAACGCCAGCGTCCGGCGGTTCATCTCGGCGAACATGGCGCCCCCCGCCCGCCTCGCGCCCCGCGCCCGCCCGGCGGCGGCGGCGGCGGCGGAAACAGCGGCGGCGGCTCTGCCCGCGGGGAGGGAGGCGGAGGGCGAGGGCGGGCGGATGGCGGAGCGCGGCCGCTCCGGCTCCGGGCCTAGCTGCGCGCCGCGGGCTCCCACAATGGACCCGCCTCGGCGGCGCTTCCGTCCCGACAGGCCCCGGATCGGGTCGAATGGCAAATGAACAACGGACGGGTCCCACAATGCACCGGGCGCGCCGCCGCAGGGGAGGGGGAGCGCGCGCGGGGGGCGGGGGGGGCGACAGCTGCGCCGCGTCACGCCCCGCCCCCCCCGCCTCCCGCGCGCGACCCCCGCTCCCCCTCCCCCCCGCCCGCCGGGCCGCGCACGCGCAGCGGCGGCCGTGACTGGGGGCGGGGGGGCTGCGGCCGTTAACGGTCGCCGCGGCGGGTCCACGGGCGGGGCCCGGTTTGTTGCCCACAGGGCGCTGGGCAGCGGCGGGGCCTTGGCGGGCGGGCGGCCGGCCCCGCGGAGTTCGCCCCGTGCGCTCGGCGCGGGCCCGGGAAGGGCTCTAGGCCCGGCCGTGCGCAGCGTCCGGGCGGCCTTCGGGGGGACCTCGCCAAACGAATAGAAAAAAAAGAAAACAAAGTAGCAACCCCCCGTTAAATGCGCCTGATAAGTCCCACGTGCGAAGCTGCGCTCTGAAGCGGGAGTGTAAGCGAATAATCGTCCGTTGTGTAAGTGCGTTATCACTGGATGGAGCCCTCTGTTTGCGGGCTGGGAGTTGGAGGCGCCCTGTCTTTATAGCGGCACGGGTTCTTTGATCTTAGTGCACAAGAGGTACCGCACAATGTCGCGTTGAGTGGTCAGGGAATAGCTGAGGCCATCTGAAACCAGGCAGACGTGGACAGGAGCAAGGAGAGATGCTGAACAGGGAGCAGAAGGTGTCAGGGAGGACCACAGAGTCTTCCAGGTGAAACTGCCATAATAAACTTTTAGGAAGGAGAGAGAGGGTTGTCATATTCCTTGTTTCAAAGAGTTGCTTGGGGAAAGAGGGACGGAAAAGGTAGCTTCCACTGACTATGGTGAAGAACATCTTTTTAACACTTTAGAGTGATATTGGGAGGGGATYTGGTCCTGGGGAAACTTTGCAGCTATAAAAGACAGTACCAGATGTCCAGGAGAAGCACAAAGATGATGTGAATGTAGGTAAGGAGGTAGGAGTGTGTGGGGGGGAATAGAGAATTTGAAATTTGTTGTGCCTTCCTGGGGCACAGGGTGGAGACAGCAGTCCAAACTTGGGTCAATCAAAGCATTCCCAGGAAAACAGACCCTGCAAAGCACAGCACAGACCAGTATTTCAGAAAGTTTGGAGCTTTGTGATTTATTGGTGTTCGTGTGTTCATGTGAAACTTGACCCTTTTCTGTCAGTGTTCCTTAATTGACTCAGCATTTATCCGCATTAGCATTTCTCCCCCCGTTTGGTAATGATACTGCTTTTAAAGAAGTGTTTGGTGTTGTAAATTCGTTCTTGCAAAGTGTCTGATCTGATACAGGTTGCAGCGAGTATATGCAGAAAGATCATGTTAAGATTTACTAGCAGCTGATGATTATGAAGGAGATGCGTGGTTGTGTGGGAACATAACCTACATGCAGGACATTTAAAACCTGCTTGGCAGAGATCTAGATAAGGAGCTAGGTTAGGATATACAGGGACTATAGCATAATGAACTACCATCTCTCTGTCGGGATGGAAAGAAATGTAACTRGAGTGCAGCAGGTAATGCAGAATGCTCTCAAGTTAGTGAGCATATCGCATATCATAAAATAATTTAGATTAGAAGAAACTTCTGGAGCTGACTGTTTAAAGCAGGGCCACTTTCAGCACTGCATTATCTTGCGCAGGGCCAGCACCTCAGACTCCTGGACTGTGTGTTCTGAAGACCTTCAGTAATAGTTTCCCCAAGACAAATCCTTTCATGTTCCCACTTTGCTGCTTGCTACAATGGATTCCTCCTTCATTCAGTTCAGTTAGCACAGGGAACCTGACTGAATCTTTTGTGGATAATTTAATTGGCATGTAATGGCTCTGTGACACCAGAATTCAGCCTGTATTGATGTGATGGATAATTCGCTTTTACTGAGTATCTTCATGGACACAAACATCACCAGGTGATCTTGACTTCTGCGTAACTCTTGATTGTCACTAAGTAATTTGCAAAACTTTTCAGATGATCCATTTCTATTGCAGATTTTTTTTTTCTTTAAGAATGTTTTGTTGAAAATGAGGTTTTATATTATACTCCTGATGGGACTAAGTATTTCAACAAGCAAATTTAAATGCATTCTTGCTACAGCTTTTATTTTGTAGTTCTTCATCAACTCTTCTTTAGTTCCCCTATGAAGCCCATGGCTGCTAAGATTCATAGTTGAAAGTAAGCACTGCAGTCATGGTAATCTTAAAAAAAAAAAAATACCTTTTACCCACCATACTCTCTTGAGAAGTGAGGTTGTATTTACTCCCAMATTTCAGAACAACAACTAGAATTTCTTTCCTCTTCCCTTCTTTGAAGACATAGTATAAGAAAGAATTTTTTTAGCAATGAACTGTCCTATTTTATAGGTAACAGATGCTCTTTTGTTTGATGTCAAATCTCATTCTCCAGACACAATGTACAGCTTCTATACCTCTCTGATATAATCTCTTAATCTCGCATTTCTTTCCACTTTTTTTTTTTTCTCTCTCCTGTTTTACAGAAACACATGAAAATCCCTTCTGGTTAACTGGGCAAAAAACATATGAACTTATTCAGCTTTCTGTAGATGAAAAGTTAGTGCCTCACGGGTGAGAGTAGCATCATGTAAAATGCAGCATAGCATTTTACACCAAGCAGCCCACCTCTAAACTAATGCAATCACCCATCACTGGCATTACTTTGTGGAGCTTCCCTATGGAGGTTTCAGTTGTCTGACACTTGAAAACTCGTATTTTGTAAAGTCCAGTCTTTAACTAAAGTGCTAAAGTGGTCGTCATCCTGTAAAGGAGTGAACATCATATACAAATCTTTTAATCACTCTCTCTCTCTCTCTCTCTATATATATATATATGATCTGGGGAAGATGGTTGATTAAACCATTTAGTGGTTGAATATCATCAATCCTGATCAATTACATATTTAATAGTGCTTAAAGTATTTAATAGTATATAAAGTCCATTTCACCAAAACACTTAAACGTGTTTTTATGTTCTGATGAATTAGGCTTTCTGCAAACAAACTGCAAGCTCCCGCATATCAAATAGGCTCTTTGCTTTTAGCTGATAAACCCCATTGTGCAGGCTGAGGATTAAATTCTCCCCCTTGTGTGGTCCCCGATGTAGAATATCCTCTTAATTAGGGACAATATGTTAATTCTTAGGAGCAGCGAGCTTTTTTGCCTACATCCAGAGTTTCCTTTTGTCACAGCTGAGGAACTTATTTCAAGTCTTTTATAGAAATCAGTGAGGAAACTGATATGCCATCAGAGCTATGATGCAATTTGGGCATATGCTGATCGTATTTTTCTGCAAATGATGCTGATACTAGTAGCATGTTATATATGGAAAGATGTACTGTGTGTCCCTGAATTCTTGCTTTGATCTAACCAACATTTTGAGCTTGACTCTTCCAAGATAGCTTGTAAAACTGTTGTGATGCTCTGTTTCATGCCATAAAGGAGGTGAATCCTAAAAGAGGAATTGGGAATTTAGATTTTTTGCTTTTCTTAAAGGTGAAGTTCCAGTAACAGTCTTTTTATAATCTTGAAAATATGCATTCTTAGAGTTGTGAAAGTTGTAGTTCACATGCTCCTCTACATACAGGGCTTTAGGAAGCTAGAAATTCACTGGTGGGAGAGGAGCTTTCTTACTTCCCTAGGATGAGTTTACACTATAGAGGAGGCTTCTTCACTGTGGGCAGCCATTAAAGTCAGTGTGTGGGAACCAGAGCCTCGCTGCTGTGCTAGAAGCAAATGCGCATTTGTCATGATACACCCAGAATGGAAAAATAGACTCTGACAGAAAGTAAGTAGCATAACCAACCAATTTATAGTACAAGCAGAGCTACTCCACAAACAGGTACCAGGAAGGGAAAGCAGTGCCTGACACTCACAAAGATTGAGAAACCTCATTCCTGCTGCTAGCCTGAGGTTACGTCTACGCTACGTTCCCAGGTRTAGCTGAAGGAGCCCTGCCCGAGCTGATGGTTTGGGCTCAGTTGCCTGGAAAGCACCGAGTGTTCTGGGAAGGACTGTGTGCTGAGCTTTCATTGCTGTCCAAGCTAACACAGATACATCTGTTCGTGTTACAGTCTTGCTTCTAAATTACAGATAGGGAAAACTTGTGGAAATGTAATTCCCAACAATAGGAACTCACAGGTGTGTTAAGTGTCAGGAGAGATCAGGAGTAATTGGTAGSAGCTATTGTGGTATATTGAATCAGTTTGAGTTTGTACAGATATTTCTCTTAAAATGACTTCTAGCTGATATTTGGAAAGATAAATCATAACCTTTATGAGGATRTGCAATGAGTCACTTAATTACACAATCCCRCCTTTTGACCTTAGACATGATACAAATGTGTCATGAATTAAAACTTAGCATCATTATCTGATAACTATTCCCTGGCACACTCTTAGCACACAGCAAGTATGAGATAATGTGACTTAACCCAGCACAGTGAAAAAATCTGAGCCTAATTGTTTTACTCTGCATTTGCTGCAGAATAAAATATACACATGGACAGGTACTGCTGCTATAGGTTGTGCCTACCTATAAAGTTGTGGAGGGGCATTGTGTTCCGGAGGCAAGTGTGACATTTGAAGGTTTTGCCGTTGTGCAGTTACATACCAGCTCTGATGCTGCAGTTACTACTGCCACAGCTCTGCTTTGTTTGGGAGCTCATTAATTTGCCTCAGGCAAAGTGAGCAAGGTTAGTTTAAACCCCCTTGGTTGACTAATCTGTCTGACTTGYAGGGAGCGCTCACAATTCCTCTTGCCAACAGAGCTGTGGGGGTGGAAACTCTCAGCAGAGGAGTGGTAAGAAGCAACTGGAAGAATGATAATGTCACCAACTGGCACACCTGTCTGCAGAGTGAATGCCAGCGTGTGATGTAACGCTGCGTGCGCTGTGGAGATTGTTCTCTTCCAAACATGTCCGTGCTTTCGGTATTATACATTCCTGGCTTAATTCTCTTTACACTAAGTACTTTTACAGAGCTCTGGCAATATAAAACAACTTGAAAGTGTTCAAAGTTTTAGACTGCACCCCTTTTAAGGTCGTCTTATTCTTCAGAACGACATAGAAAGGGACTAACAAGTGAGTACCAACTACTGTAGTCCTGTGGAATGAATTTTGTCATTGCTGGGCCAGCACCTCAGCTGTTCTGTTAAAGGATTCCAGATGCACCATAAGCCCTGACTTCAGTGCGATGCTGCGGCCCCTCAGACGAGTGCAAATTCATTCCAGGGCTTTGTGTCACACTGATTTCTATTACTGGAGAGATCTTTGCATTGCAGAGTATGGGCTCATGTTTATTTGCACATATTCTCATGGTTGCTATGTACATGACTTCTKTTACTCTAGAGAGACCCAGTTGCACAAAGGTCTCTAGAAAGAGTTTGTCTGCCTGGCTGTGAACAGCTGCCTTCCTCACTGACCTTCCAGGTTTGTCCTTCCCATCATGGAGCCTTTTCCTTTGGCTGCAGCATTGCCTTGTCTGAAGGAGCCACAGACCTGTAGCAGCTTCAGTCAATGCATGGATCCTCCATGCTATCTTTGATGAACAGTTGCTGTTTGACAGATTCATCATTTAATCCATTTTCTGCTCTTTCTTCCTTCCCAGTTCAGTCTCTTCCTTGTCTCTCCAAACAGTGCTGTAGAAACTGGGCTTCTAGATTTCCTTACCAACAGGTTGTACTTTGTTCAAAGCTGTTCTTGTTGCTCTTCTTACTCATTACTGTATTGCAGATTTTGGAAGAAGTCATTCCTTCTTCTGGTTATTCAGATCTTTTCAGTGTGGTTGCTTCATACAATTGTTTTCCCATTTTATCCTACACACGGACACTATTGTTACTTGTTTGGTCAGTCACCTGAAGCCTAAAGGASGAAGTACTTTTTTTTCCTCCAGTAAAATACCTGAGCACCTGCTTCCCTCTAGTTAAGTATGTTCTTATTTAATTATTTATTTGTTTTTCTGAAGTAGGACTGTAAAAGCTGTTCTAAAGCATGCTATAGTAAGAGGAAATCTTCTCATTCTTTGGTCTAGGTGTTTTATTGCTGGGGGGAGGGGGCTCTGTGTTGTTGTTCTTTTTTTTTTTTTTCCCTGTATTCCTATGGTTGTGGCTATGACAAGATTAGCCTTAGCAAATGCAAAGCATTTCCTGTTTGTTCTGGTTCTCTTGTGAAGTGAAATATCTTGGTTTTACCTAGTGTTTGTGAGCAGTTCTCATTAGTGGTGTTATCCTTTTTTTCCTGTTCCTTTTTGTCCATCTTTGCCCCTGCTCTGAATGTAGGACAGCTGCTAAAGTCATTGGATGTCAGCTTTTGACTAACTGAAAAAATATTGTCTTCTTGGTATTCTATGTTTTTTGTTTCTTTAGTGATTCCCCTTAGCGTTCCTGTGTTTATCAGCCTCCAGCTGGTCCAGATGTGCTTTATCAGGGAGTGAATGAGCTGTGAAAGATACTCTATAATCAAGAAGAGAATGAGGCTCCTTTTCTGGGTATGGTAAAGACTGCACTTTCTCAGGGACTTTGATCAGTGCCTGCTCTGTTGGATACAGCCTCCTACATGTTTGCTGCCTTCCCATAGGTAATGCAGTTTAGTCATTTCTGCTATAACAGCTACTTCGCATCTCTTGTTTTTCTTAACATCATCATTTTTTGTTTATTTCTAAGTCTGCTAACTGATTTCATAGTACTCTTTTTTTTGTCTTAAATTATAAAAATTCATTTAAAAAATGCTTATCCCTGTTAGCTTTCCTGACACTAATTAGTGAGCTGTTACTACAGTTAATGTGGGCTGCAGAATCTCAGCTGGATACAGCAGTGAGTAGGACTGAAACTTGGAAACTTTGCTTATTGAAACGTCCTGCTTGTAGGACAATGCTTGTGAATCTCTGCCTGCAGAGGAGCTAATAAAACAATGGCATCACTGTTTTAAAATAATAACAGTGTTTTAAAATCAAACTTAATCAAATTTCTTACAGTTGAGTGGAGTCCCTAGCAAAAATGCTAATGCCAAATGAGTAAGGAGCAGGTTATTCCATGTTACTAGAGACGTACTCCTYATGGGATAATGTAGTCTACACCATTACTAGTGTGTTGGTGGCCAGTCAGGGTCATTACAGACCTCTTGGCCTTTTGCAGGCAGTGCACAGATGTGGCTCCTCCGCATGTGCGGTACTGTGCAGGCAGGGACCAACAGYAAGAGTGTCAGCCTAGCAGCGGCTCCCAAGGGATGGAGGGGCAGCCCTGGCCAAGGCCTCCGGCAGCTTCCAGAGGAGCTTCCTGAGGTCACCAGCTGCKCTATCTCCAAGCTGGCGCGAGCCCAGCAGACACCCCTCAGGAGGGTGCGAAGGACGCAGGGCTCTGACACACTTTCCTCCTTATTTAATTCTCCTGCCCACTTCCCCAGCCAGTCGCTGACCTTGCACTCCTCTTTCATTTTGTTTTCCCCCCCCTCCTTCTCTCCCCAAAGCAGCCTAGTGTAAGCAAGAGAGGAGTAACAGCAAAATTGACTCTTTGTCCTCTCCACATGCTACCCCCCTACCTGATGTACATTTTCCCAAATTATAAAATTGTTCAGCCCTATCAACATGTTCCTCTCTGCATGAGGTACTGCGTGAAGTCCCCACAACTCAGTGTTGAGGAGTCTATGCCTACTGTGTCACTTTTGTTCGTGTTATARAACTTCAGGCCTTCTTGGGATAATGCCTTAGTGCCTGGGAAAGCGCTGCCTAAATATTGGTGGCTGACCCTTCATGATGGCACAGGCTTGGGAATTGTCCCAGAAGCATCGATGTGTCCACCTCAGATAACAACCGTATGTTGCTGTGGGGCGCGTTGCTCTTTCCAGATAGACACTGCAGAAACTCATGTCTACTCATCTGAAGGACAAAACAAATATAAGATTACTAAAATAAATATAAGATTACTAAAATCTAATGCTTTGTAAAATCCCAGTTAAATCGGGAAGCTTTAGGTTTATCTCAGTGTAATTGTTCGAAGTTTTCTAGAAGGTATAAACAGGAAAAATGTAACTTGTTTTCTTTGTGTGAGAAGGAATAGAATTATAGTACTATTGATATTAAATCAAAGTAGCTACTTGACTTTCTGTAAGTGTAAGCTGTTAGCATTCTTGATGATTAGGAATGTATCATTAATTATGTTAGAATAAACAAAAATCTCTCTCGAGAGATATACATATGGATTTTAGAGATTACAAGTGGCATTTTAGTAATCTTTTAATTTAATCTGTGGAGGCTACATTTTAAAAACTGCGTGCTAATGCTAGAGTTATCCCCCCAATGAGGCTGCCGATACTGCCATACTCACTTAAGCAGTCCTTAGTTCCTGGGTCAGAAACTTTAGCAAGACAGTGTCTACTCTCATAGAAGATTTTCACTCATGGAAGTTTTTATTTCTTTGTTTTTAAGATTTTTCGCATTCACTGCAGTGTTCGTTGTGTGAATGTCCAAACCCATAATTGGTCTGTGCAAGCCCCAGTCTGGCAGAAATTCTAAATTTCCTGCTGTTTGCAGAAGAGGAACTCCTAAAGCAGACACTGCTTTGGTCTCTTTGATTACGAGGCTCCTGTGTTGGCAGATCTGTCTTGCCATATTGTCATATGGTTTGCCACTTCTTGCTGAGATTACAGCCACACAAAGTATCTGCATGAGATTGTTAGCACCAGAGAAATCTGTGTAGTTAGGGGAAGTTGCAGCAACTCTTATCAGTGGTGGTTATTTTAAATGCATTTGACAACTACTTTCTTTTCTGCCTTGATTCATGGAATACTGATGCAAGCTGAAGGCCTTAGTCTTTGTTGTTTGGGTGCACAATCAGCAGGGAAATGCAGTCTGGGAGACGGGCTAAAACTTGAGACAAACAAGAAAGTCAAAAATCAAGAAAAAAAAAACCTCTTACTCTTTGGCTCCAGGACATTAAAGACTGTCAAGGTCTGGTTCAGGTTTCTGGAATTAATTCCCCGAGGAGCTGAAGACTATCACAGACATCATCACCCAAATGCAAATGAGCTTTCTTTAACCTGCCTCTGTGACATAAATACATTACAACATATACATTAATGAAAAGCACTCAAATTATCAAAGCAAATCATTCTCAAACCTCTCCCCTGGGGCAGAGGAAGGGAGAACAAACAACATGTTGCTTAATGCACCACTGGAAAGCGATTGCGCATTGCTGCAATGAGCACGCTGTAAGAACGGGAATGGGCTGGGAGGTAATAGAAAACTGCCTTTGTTAGTGTTGCTGCTCAGAAGGAAATATTTACTCCAGTGTGAGTTAAAGGTTTATTTCAGATCGACAGGTAGTGCACATTCATTTTCTATTCGGGTAGTCCCTGGTTAGGATTTGCCTGTTATTTTCTTGCTTCTGCCAAGGGATCCTGACTCTGGAAAGCAGGGCAAATTACCACAAATCATTGACTCTAAGTGTGTCTGGCTATAAAATAGGGTAATTTATTGAGCTCACTTAAAAAGACTTTTTTTGCGGGGGTCGTATTTCATTAAAGCTGGTTTGCTTCAGCGGCATAGCTCTAAATATAGCTCAGCATGTAAATTACTTCCTCCCCAGATCGGTTCAAAGACATATTCCGAGGCAAAAATGCCATTTTGGGCTGCGTGATGCAGGACGGGACCTGCTGTCCTTGCGGAAGCAGGGCAAGGTGTGCTGCTGGTTTACCTGAAGGGTGAAGCTTATTTCATCGTTGGTACTTCCCCTAGTCATTGTGTGAGTTGGGCTGAACGTGGAGTCAAGGCTTTCTCTGGCAGTGTCTCCTTTTTCCCAAGGGAAGAGGCCTCACACTCCTACCTCACCTAGGGCAAGTCTGTCGCCCAGCAGCTGGTTTGCAGAAGGATGTAGGAGTGAGCTGCTGGCTAGCTGCATCATACCTCGCTGCTCTCCCCATCAGGACAAGGAAGTCTGGGGTTTAAAGGTGAGTGGAGTGAGCGAGGAGCTTGTTTCACATTTAAACTGCGGTTTCTGAAAAATTGAAGCTTTTTTTTTTCAGAGATTTTTGATTTTTTTTTTCTCCAGGAGATCAGTATCCATTGCTAATTGCATCTCTCTAGCACAMTGCTTTCCTTCTGAGCACGGGTTGGAAGATGCAGCGTGAGCATTGGCACGGCACGTTCCCTCTCAAGTGGTAGGGATTCACCACAAGGGGATAAACAAGTTTAATCCCGAGATAGCAGAAACAAAGATTTCTTAGCATTTCTTCTGCATGGTTCTTTACTATGATGTTTCCTCCTGCAGGACCTTTGGGGAAAGAGAGAGCAGTGCTCGCCTGTGAGAATGAATTGATCACCGAAATGGTTTATTATGCTTAGAATAGGTGGTGTTTGGAGCAACATATGAGCAAAATGGGGAATTCTTGTGTACTCGAGGCATTTCAGAGTCACCTGTTTGAAGGGACAYGGAAAAGTCTGTTGTTACTAGCACTGAGTAACTTCTAGGGCTTGAGCTGAGTGACGAAAGGGCTGTTGCAACCTTTGAGTGTGGGAGCCATAAGCACTGGTGAAAAATATGAAGAACTTGTTTGGCCAGCGTTGCAATAAATAAAACTACAGTGGAATTTACTTCTGTTGCTAAAGTCCGATTTTTTTTTTTTTTTTTTTTTTTGGTAATGGCTGGTTCTGGTTTTACGTAGGAAATGTTGAAATGTCAGCTTTCTTTGGGATGATAAAACAGGATGAAAATTGATACTGACATTTTCTAATTTCTTCTAGGATGTGGATTCTGAATTCAGCTTGTTGTAAAACAAGATCTTCCATGATAAATTTTCCGTATAAGCCTTATGCTTAACTTTTTGCAGGTGCTAAATGCTCCTGCTAAAGCTGATGAGAGAATGAAGTGGGCGTTTTTGTCACATTTTCACCACATTTTGAGTAATTGCTCAATAAGTAAACCAGCAACCTGCCTCTTGTCCRGTCTTTCATAAATAATGGATGTTTGGTATCAAAGCCAAAATGTTAGATCTACAGCAGGCACAGAAAGAAGTCACAACCAAATGYGACTGTAGGAGGGAAACATTAATTCTGTTAGTGTGGTCTGTGTAAATCTTGAATGCATTAATCTTTGTTTCTGAATAACTGTTAACTTGGAAAGTAAATGGATATTAAACTGATGGTAAATGGACTGAAATGTTTATGAATAAAATGATTATGACAGCTTCTAGAAATCTGTCTAGAAATTAGTTGAATATAATTGAAAGTTTCAGTATTGCTCAAAGTTTTGTTCTGGAAACAACTTCTCTTGTTGTTTCCAGAACAAACAGAAAAAAATAAAAAAAAAGGTCTTGGCCAGACCATCACTTCTAGTCCTCTTTATGTCTTAATTAGTAAATGCACTTCATGATTTTTTTCTATTAGTTTCTATTAGTTTGAGTGAATTAAGTCATCCYAGTGCAGTGCTTTGAAGACAAAACTGCATAATAGCAACTACAGTAAATCATGATTGTTCCTGAAACTCTAATCAAAGTTATATTTGGTGTAATTAATCTGTAAATGACACTCAMTAGTAGTGGCAATTTCACTACAGACTTCTGAAAATAAAGAATTGTTGCTGAATATGCCTGCAAATTTAATATAATTTGGTTTTTACATGATCTTAAAAATGTCATATTGTCAAGSTATATAGGAAATTAAAATCATGCGTTTCTTTACTCTTTTCCCTTACCTACCAGCAATAGTGCCCCTCGTGTTACCAGAAGGCTTTTGGCCAGTGTATGCAGCCCAAAAGCCCACTGCAGCCTCAGCCCTTGGAGGGGAGGCTGAGTGTGCAGCTGCACAGAAACGTTCTGCTCTAATATAGCTGGGCCTGCACCCTAAATCGCATGGAGCTGATGGGAGAGAAGGCAGCTACAGACCCTGTGGCAGATCCCTGCTTCCTTTCCCCTCCAGATATATCTCTCCCAGGAAATAATAATAATTGGTGTTGGGTATTTTTAGATCTCATTTTTGTTGATCTACTCTGAGGTCAAGTGAAATAAAACTGCAGATTCGAGTGTCCTGTTCCAATGGTACAATTAGTGGCTTGAAGTAGAGGCAGCTGTTGGAGTTGCTGCAAACATGAAACTGGCAATTGCTCAGCCGCACGTGCATCGCCGTGTGCATCTCCCCGCTCTGCAGCGAGGGAGGTATCTTAGACAGTTAGTGTGTGGAACTGGGTACTTACTGAGTGAGGTGTCTTAGACCTCACTCAGTGTGTGGAATTGGGTATTTACTCCATGCTCTGCACCAAACTACCCCAGCCAGCTGGGAGCCCCGTAGCCGCTGGCCCTGGGGGCTAGCAAGCCTCCAGGCAGCAGCTACCTGCGGTGAGCGGGGTCCTCAGGGCCTCTTTCACACTGGCTGACTGGGTTACCCCCTTCACCTCTACATTTTGGAGGTGTAAGCTTTGCTCTTTGCAAGCTTGCCGGGCAGCAGGCTCAGGTTGCTTTGGGATTATGACCCTGCATCAACGTGGGGAATTAGCACAGGCAAAAATCTCACWGCCTGCATCAGCTGTCTTCAGTCTGTCACATGCCCAGCCAGCCTCCGTGAGTGCAGCAGCTAAGCCGGCCTTCAGCGGCCGTGCGGTATTGCTGGGATGTCCTCCTTGGCGCCCTGCGTGTCTCAGCTGAAGCCTTATGAATTAACGTGATGCCTAAATGCAGCGTGCCCTGGATCTGCAGCGCAGGGCAGCAAGCAGCTGTGGTCGACAGCCTTCCTGGCCCGGGTGAGCAAAGGCAGACAAGCTCTCTCTCTCAGCACACCACGTAGACAAGGTCAGTCGTGGTGACCGTGAATATCGCCGCCAGAAAGCCTGTAGATACTGTGACTTAAGGCAGGCACTGGCTGTTCGTGGCTTAGTCAGGTTGGATGCTTGCAAAACTGACCAGATAAACCCTACACACAGGGGGTTCCCATGCTCACATCTTTGTTAGACCAGTGTGGAAAAGTATAAATAAGTATGTATAGGAAATGGACAGGAGCTAAGGAACCTCCTTAGCTCCTATYTCTTCCTTTTTCTCACTATGGCCTTTTGCAAAGACCCTTATGAGAAGTGGTAAAATATTTTAACTCAGTGCTCAGCTCATGATCTGCAGTAGGGGTGTGTGGCTGTAAGGGCCACAAGGAAAGTGCCGCATTTCTTCAGAATATTAAAAGTTTTTGGCCACTGAATTAAATACGTTTGGTTTGGCTCCTTTTTAGGTGATGCCACACACTGGAAAAACTTCCACATGAAATATTCAATCAACCTGATTGTCATATCATTTCCTGGAAATGTGGTGGTGGTCTGAGGTAGGGAGTCTATCTGCTGAGTTGACTGCAGACTTTTCTGGATGTTACTTCTGTAASTCTTTGTCTTTGCTCTTCTACCTTCACATTCTGGCATCTGTGACACTCCCCAGACTTGATTGGTTTCTGCTTTTCATCTTGCTCACACCTTTGGCTGTTGAATGCAGCTGGAGAAAGTCCAGGCTTCTCTGTAGCGCCTAATTCTTCAGATCAAATSCCTCCTTGCAGGTTTGGTTTGGGCTTTATTTTTGGCTGAGGGGTACAGTAGCACCAGCCTTGTTGATGGTGCAACAGYTTATCTTTGTGCAAACTTTTCTTTGTACCTTTCTTTCAATGTTCTCCAAGGTCGTGCCTCGTTCCCACTCTCCTGTTGTGCAGATGCCTTTTGCTGCATTTTTAGCTGTTACGCATCCTGCACTGTCTTCACTGTCCCTATCTTGTTTTTYTATTACCTTGATTGTCTGCCCCAGTCACATATTCATCCTTACGGTCTGAATAATCATAAGACAGCTACTATTGCCTAGGAAATTCTTCAAATACACTTGTTCAGGAGGCAGGCCGTGTACCAGCCTCTGCAGGAGCCTGTCCCTTGCAAGGGGTGCTGGTACCAGGAGCGCTGTGCGGAAGAGGTTCCTGAGGCCTGGTCGCTAGGACAGCCGATAGGCCCCAGGTATCTTCTGGGTTTTGTGGCGAGCTCAAGTCAGATACAAAGATGAACTTGTGTCCTCTGGTAGTTTTTCTTCTCCATGGACAACAAATACCCTTATACCTTAGTCTTTTATTATTATTATTATTATTAATTAATAATAATAATAAATAATAAATATTAATTAATTACTATTTATTTAATTATAATTATTTAATTAATAATTATTTAATTAAATAATAATAATAATAATAATCTACTTTATGCTGTTTCCTCCTGGAGCAAGATTTTTTTTTTAAAACATTTCTCTGATGCTGTTGTTGCAGGGACACCTAGAGCATATGGCACAGAGAGGCATCCAGGTGGGTTTGGAAGATCTCCAGAGAAGGAAACTCCACAACCTCTCYGGGCAGTCTGTGCCCTTATGAACTCTATCAGGCTCATAGTCAAGAAGTTTCCCCAAATTCAGGTGGAACTTCCTGTGCTTCAGTTTGTGGATGTTGCTTCTTGTCCTGTCAGTGACCACCATTGAAAGGGTCTGGCCTCATTCTCCTGACCACCGCCCCCCACCAAGGTATCTGTGCACAGCAATAAGATTTCAGYCTTCTCTTCTCCAGGCTAAACAGGCCCAACTCACAGACTCTCCTCGTACGAGAGATGTGCCATTCCCTTAATCATCTTTGTTGCCCTCCACTGGACCCTCTCTAGGAGCTCCACATCCCTCTTATACTGGGGAGTCCAGAACAGCACACAGTACTCCAGGTGAGGCCTCACCAGAGCTGAGTAGAGGGGCAGGATCCCCTCCTTGACCTACTGGCAACACTCCTCCTGATGCAGGCCAGGATCCCATTGGCCTTCTTGGCCACGAGGGCACACTGCTCACTCATGGTTAACTTAGTGTCAACCAGGACTCCCAGGCCCCTCTCCGTGGAAGTGCTTTCCAGCAGGTCAACCCCTAATCTGTACTGGTGCCTGGGGTTATTCCTCCCYAGGTGCAGGACCCTGCACTTGTCCTTGTTGAACCTCATGAGGTTCCTCTCTGCCCAACTCTCCAGCCTGTCCAGGTCCCTCTAAATGGCAGCACAGCCCTCTGGAGTGTCAGCCTCTCCACCTAGTTTTGTATTGTCACCACCAGTGAAATGGCTGGAATACAGTTTGCAACTTCGGCTTGTACCGTGTGGCAGGGGTGGCTTTTGCCCACCTTTTCC